CGAAGAGCGTATCGTTGAGTTGCAAACGGAAATTGATAAATTCCGACAAATTGTACGGCCCATTACGCAGGCAATGGTTGGCCAGAAGAAAAAATGTAGCTGCATGGAAGAATGGAATAATTGCATCAGTGGCATTGGTGATTGGTCGCCGGGCGTTGAATCGACACGAGTCCTTCCGGTGGCCGAACCACGCATCAAACGACAAGCCATCAGCGCCGAACCACTGTCAGCACTCGCACAAATCTCCGACGAAGACGGACTTGTTCGAATACCAAAGTCCAGTTTGTAAGTGAAAAATCAATCATCTTCTGATCATATTTCCAAGGGAACCTAAGACATAGAGAGAGGAACAATAAAAGCACAGCAAAACTTTCATGGCCAATATAAATTCTCACACCCATACAGATTTCTAATTAAAAAGGAGGAAAACTAACAGACGAACGAACAAAAAAGACACAGTACCAATAAATTCTATTTAATACACCAAATATGATTGCAATTAGAGCTGCCGCTCATTTGATTTATATGATTCAGCAGCGACGTACGGTTTCGCTTGGGCGAAACGAGTTATTCTCACTTGCTGCCGATTGCAATTTTCATTTCAAAGCTTTTTTTCATGTGTGTTTTGTAGCTTTGTTTCGCCGATCGGGCAATTCGATTAATATTTTTAACGAATTAATGTTCGAAGTGAAATATAATTAAATTGTGACATTGTCACATCAAATCCACTTATTCGATTTTTGCACGTATTTTATTGCGCTCAAATGACATTCCGACACAATTCATATCTGTTTGTATTTAGCGGAGACAGACGAAATGAAACGAATAGAGAAAAAAAAAACTGTCGGTAAACAGAGCACTCGCGCTAACACACAAAAATTATTGGATTCAAATCAAAGTGTTGAAAATACAGTTGGGTGTGAATGTCAAATGGGTGTTTGTTTTAATCAATAAATCTTAGTTTTTGTACTCATTTCGCTTCGGTTGCTGCTTGCTCCTATGCGTGTGTGTATGTGTGTGTGACAATATTTGCGTTGTGTGCCCATTGGCAGTCAAAGTGAAGAAAAAGAGAGAAAAAAACTGAAATCAGAACTGAAAAACTAATTTATTTTCTGATCATAAATTCCACATTTCAAGAATATCGTTTGATTTTTTTTATTCTCGTTCTCGTCATATAAATCAAAATATCGCATTCTTTGCATTCAACTCATTTAATAATACGATCGCAGCAATATTCATTCCAGACAGCTAAACAAATTATAACAAATCTTCATGTGAAGTGTGAAAAACGGTGCACTTTGAGTGAGCTTTGTACCCCACAACAATCGCATCTAATGATCCAACTCGTATCAGTATCGAATGATGAGCAATGTTGAAACAAGTCGGAAAATTGAACAATTTTACACAATGACGTGCTGTAGACGCAATTGTTTATGAAGAGAATCATTAATTGATGTTGTTCCGGTGTCAAGCTTTTTCCGTTTTTCTTACTTATGTACTTGACCTACGGCATATTAATTAAACAAAAAAAAAATACACAATGCTAATTGTTTGTAATTACATACTTCCCAAGAGTTGTTGAAAGCGTTTTATTCGTTGTTTCATTCGCATTCAACCGCTGAAGATTTTAATAACACGTACAGTTTCTCTCTCTCTCTCTTTCTCTCTCGTGGCTGGTGTTATTTATACGCTTTTAAATATCCACTTGATACTTTACACTCGATGGCAATCAATCGAAATTTTGCCACCTTGTGCGAAAGCAAAAAACACACGATTCGTCTTGACGTGATGATTAACACGATATTTTATTTATCGGGTCTGGCAATCTGTCGCTTTGTGTGTCCTTTTAATAAACACACTGTGTTTTAGATTCTCAAGAATCGACTTGCACCAGAGAGAGAGAGAGAGAGAGATAAAAAAAACAAACATCAACCGCTCATCGAAAAACTCTCAATAATTTCACATCGTAAATATCGCGTATAAAATTTTATTTATAAATTACCAATAAATGTGGAAAAAAAATCGAGAAAAAAAACCTGTGTGAAGTCAATCGGAGACAGTCTCCGATCACATTCACTGTATTTATATGGATCGAGCAAGCGAGAGTATGTCGTGCAACTAACAAAAATAAATCAATAAAAATAAAATGATTAAATTAAATTCAGATTTAAATTATGCAATTTATTTTGCAATATAATTCCGAATGCGATGAGAGGTGAGCGCTGGATGAAAGAAAAAAAAACCAAACAAACAACAGCAAGAAATGAATAAAAACCGTATGCGGCGACTTCTACTGAAAATCAATCCGTAGCCGACAAAAAGCAAACGTCGTCAATTTGAAAATTGCATTTGGGAAACGTTTTACGGCGTTGGGCTGTTTTGTGGTGTTGTCAGTATAGTCGTTGTGCACCGTTTTTACTACTACTGCTGCTATTGCTGTTGTTGTTGCAGCAGCTCTAGTTACTTCGGACTGAATGTCCGATTTTTTTTTGTCTGTTGTTCATGAAGCGAATGGCGCGTGAAAAAAGATAGTCGCGTTTCGCGAATTAAATGTAATAAATGTGTACCAAAAGCGATAGGCATCGACAGATCAGCAGATACATGAAATTCTATTTGAGATCAAGATACGCAAACGACACAACAGCAACAACGAAGAAAAAAACATACACTCACAATATCCATCTATCGCTTTGATTGTAAATGAGAAAATGTTGTTCGAATTACATTATGAAATCAATTGGGTTTTGTGTGCTGCGTTTTTTTCCCAATCGTTTCTCTGTTTTTTTTCCTTCTCTTCTCAAGCATTTAATGAATTCATAAAAATTTTATGTGTAATAATATTTATCCGCAGATCGGCATCACTTTTTCCACACGCACAAGAATCTATTTTAGAATGTATGCGATTGGATATCGCTTTCGTTTTACGAGAGCTAGCAAAAAAGAGCTCAGCGTTGGAATTATCTAATCGTTTCAGGGTTTTTCTTTTGCAATTTCCTTTGCTAAATGAAAAGCACGTGCCTAATTTCAGGTACATTTTGTGTACTGTTCAATGCGATCCCGAGTCATAAACACCAAATGGGATCAATTGAAGAGAAATTTGCGCGTTGGTTGGTCCTGTTTTGTATCCGCTCTCACTCTCTCAAGTGCCTTCATTCAAATTGTAATTTTTTCAATTGAAATGCAAAAAAGTACCCAAGCCGCGCGCACCACCACATCATGATCCGCCTAATGTGATCTCTGTTCGGTTCGACTGCAAGCGCCAATTATATTTAATGCCGTTTTTCACAGTGAATGAAATCAATTGTTCTTTGATCTAATCTCTTCGTGCGCTTGTGCTGCTTTTTTATTGCTAGAGACAGCATATTTTTTTAGTGTATCACATACATCAAACAGAGCAACAACAAAAAATGTGCGCCAACGCGCAATCGATTCAATTCATACACAAAACGACACACCATTTACAACCAATTTGTTTGTATAAACATGCAAATTTTTCGACACACAAAATAATTAAAATAATATACGATCCGCTTGAAATGTCATACAATTACTCTATTTGATTCAGTCGATCATAATGCGCGCACCGCGCGTCACGCGCACACAATGCATAAATAATCTAAATGAATTCAGTATTTCGGTATTCACAGAGAGTGGAATGTTTTAAAAGAAGCCGTTGTTTTCGTCTCTTGAATATAAATCTCCAGTCGAAATGTAACACGTTACGCTTTAATTAACGAATCAAAATGAATTTCATATTGGTCGCACGATGCACGTGATAGTGACAACAATTAATCATCAATCGATTCGCCATGCTGTTGCGATTCGCCATGGAATTGATATCAAATTGAATTCAATCAAGCGCGTATTGCCGGCATCGAACACGACATGTCAGATATCGCACACAGTGTGTGTAGTGTTGCTGTGGCATCAAATGTCCTTGAGAATAGTTTAAAATTAATAAAAATTATTTATTAATGGCTTTCAGGCGAAACCGAAACAAAAAAATCGCACACGCAAACGGCTCGTCGAAAGGAGCGTGTAATTTTCATATAAATATAAAAGCATTTTTGCTCGGAATTAACAAGAAATGATAATAATAATTATTGCTTACGTTTATTGGTATAATTTGCACTGTGATACACACACTGAGAGAGAGAGAGAGCAAAAACAGCTCATTTATCATCTTTCGATGCAAAACTGTGTGGTTCTCTTATTTACGTGCGAATGCGCCTGCTCTTTGGGTTTGGGTGATCGATCGCGATCGCGAATATCAACGAGCGAGCAAGCAAGCAAACAAATCAACGAAATTAATGTCTTCATGGCTGGCAATCAAATCGATATATACCGTGCATACTTCCAATTACACCTTTAAATTGAGCGCAATTACTTCATTTTGAATTTAACCTATTCGATGCAGAAACAGTTAAATCAACGATCACTAACGGTCATTTCTCAAAATTAATTAGCCCAACTCGAGCGATCAACGCACAACAAACAGCAGCTCGAGCGATACCATTCAATCGCACCTAGTCAACCGCATCGAATTGCTAATTTATGCAATTCGTTGGTATTTTATCGTCATTAATGATTCGATTGACTATAACAAATTTTTGTGTGTTTTTTCTCTCTTACATTTTGCAAATGAATTACATCGATCTGATCTAATCTGTTGCGATAAATTAAATATGGTGTCGTTTCATTGTGATGATATGATAGTTTTGGCGATGTCACTTGATTACTTTTCTCCTTCTAAATGAAGGAATGAATGAAGTTGATCTTGTGGAAGAAAGTGCCGCGAAAATTGATGAAAGAAACAAACAGAAAGCAAAACTGGAATTTAAACGCCGTAAAGTCAGCAAATGCAAAATACACTGGCATCGAGTGTAGTCTAACTTCAGGGGCTTGCAATATTACTTCATTTCGAACACACCTGAATATCGTTACGTTGTACGGTTTTTTGTAAATACTAATGCTGTTTTATTTTTATACACTCAAACCAGATCTCGTGAGCTCATCAAGTCGGCAATTTTGGACAATGATTTCATGAAAAACTTGGATATGAATCAAATTCGTGAGATCGTCGATTGCATGTACCCAGTTCAATATGCCGCCAAGAGTCTTATCATCAAAGAGGGTGATGTCGGTAGCATTGTTTACGTCATGGAAGGTAAGTTTTTTTTTTTGATTTCCTCTATGCTCTTAACCTGTTACACATCCAAAAATAGATCATCAGCAGTTCCGAAATTCCAATACAAAGTATTCTAACCAAATTTTTTCGAGTTTGTTGTCAGACGGATTCCGTCTGATGGAATGATAACAATGAAAACACGAAATATATTTCAAAACACTTGCGTAAAATAAATATCAATAGTTTCAGTCTCTTTCCGCCTTGTGTTTATGTAAATCGCAAGATATTTGCGTTCGATCGTATTGTGGAATCCACATATTGAAACGCAAGCCTGGTTGTTTGGATGTACGTTAGTAATTAAACAAATTCGAGGAATTTTAGTGCATAAACACGGGCACGTAACCGGATTACTACTTTGGCTTATGTAAAAAAAAAGATTCTGTTGTAAATAGAAAAGTTTTGAATAGAAAACCAAAAAAAAGCTTCCACCGGCTCAAACAGCGAGGCTATTTTGCATGAAGTATGGTACACAACACACACACAATGTATATGGCGATGCGCTCCACAGCTTGATGGTATAATGACGTGAAAACATCGAATTATGCGGTTTTGTGAGTCTGAAATCAAAATCTGCGTGCATTGACGCGTCAGGTCTTTCGATGTTTGAACACCATTCGTAACTGCACAGCTCAATTGATGTTTGTTGTTTTTTTCCTTTTGTTTGGATATACTACTTCATTATTTATTTGTATCTATTTTGTATTTCTGCTGCAATGATTAATCGGGCTGTTCTTTTCTTTGTTTGTTTTGTTTTGTTTAGTTTTGTTCGCATTGAATCGCACAATATTTTTGTTTTTGTTGCGATGGAAAGTTTTTCAGCCATTTTCTAGATAAATATAAAAACAACAGATATATAAATTGCAATTTGTTATGATGTACCACATCTTAATGTCGGCAATAAAGTGAATCGAACGTCAAATATACAAATTATTTGCCGTTCGCTTTCCGGCGCGTACTTACTCACTTTCGCATACACATAGGCACTGTTCCAAACTGCATTAAAGCAAACGGCATTTTATTGTTTTCAATTTTTTCGTTTTTCTTTGCTCATTTTGATGCGCTTTTATTATCTAAATGACTTTTCTTTATTTCGCTGTAACACGGAAAGGTAAATGTAAATGTAAATGTAAATGCAAACCATCTTCCAGATTGCATTTTAATTCAATTAAAAAAAACTGACTGTCGAAAAAAGCAACGACGAAGAAATAACCGCAACGATGCCAAGAAATGCAACACACTCGGTGTAATGGATACACAAACCGAATTCGATTGCAATGTTTGTGGTAAAATGAGCCTCAACAGGTTAAACGTCTGCATGAAATGGCAATCAATTATACCGTGTGCTCGGTGTATGCTTGTGTTTGTGTGTACTTTTTTCTACTCATCGATTTTGCCGCTTGAGCAAAAAGGGAAAAAAAACTGCATCAGTTTGGCGTTGCGTTCCGTTCATGCACACACAGAGAGCAATGTTCAATGGTTTGCGTCCAAGTGTGGCATTTATCTGTGTCAAAGAAAGCAGTCAAGCTATTTATCGACACGATTGATTTGATTATGATAGCGTTTAGCTGAAACGTACTTTAAAGAGGCTATCAACGCATTGTAAACATTCACACAATTGAACCATTCATCTCGTTTAACAAAGCACTTGGGCCGCTGTACGATTAGGATGGATCGAAATCAAGTACAACATGAATCGAAGACAAAAAAAATCCAGCGTTTAAGCGAATGATTTAGGCAAATTAGAAAATACCACGACCCCAAACAATTATCATATGACCGGGCAGCATTGAATTTTCAAGTTATTTTTAGTTGGCTCAGGCCCGCAGCAATCGCGAACAATTTCAATGTGTGAAATGATGAATTTCCAGCGCTTTAAAACACGTTGATTATGGAAGCAGCAAAGAAGCAACCATAATGTTCAATGAATATTATGTGTTTGAATGCCGACTGCCTGTGTGCATCGACTTGTTTATGCGTCAACATTGTGATTTGTGACCGTGTTGTGCTTGAACATCAACTCTCGATTGGCATTCGAGTTTGGTGTTTTTTTGTTTTCTTCTAACCAAAATCCAGCGTTGGTAACGTAAAAAAGTTGCATTACTTTCGCTTTTCTAGCGCACATCTTCGGATGCCATCCAGACCGGTAGAAAGGTCTTGCACCGCAAACACAGTCAGACTCATCCATGCCATTGGCAAGTGCAACAGTATGAGGAGAGAGAGAGAGAAAAGAGTGGTTAGAGAAAACAGGTTCTTGGGTCGCACACTTTACGTGCGCTTATATTGAATACACGGTCGCTACTTAATTTATCACTCTTCGGTTAGATGATATTCTATAATAGCGTTATGGTAATTGTCCATTGGAAAAAGATGTGCACAGTTGAATTTCTGGTTGTCGCATAAATTATGATCGAAAGGAAAAATTGAAAGTGACAGACTATTTAATGAACGGCAGCAACAACAAAAACCGAAGAAAAAACTAATTTCACTTGTTGCGAATGAATAAAATCGCATTTACAACTTTCAAATAATTCCTTTTTCAATAAACGATGACTTTGTCCATGCGTTGAAAGGTGTACGTGTAGACTGGAAATTGCGCATGATTTGCAAATGACTTTCAATGTTTGTCTAACATATTGAACTTTGCATGGAATAAATATTCAGGCATTCAATCGCTCAACGATACATTCACCTTTTCGCATTGATTCCGGTGAGGCGAATGATGAGGTTTTTTTTCATAATTTATGATTGAAAAACGTTCAGAAAGAAATATACGCATACATTGCGAGCCACACACATTCATTCATTGCGAGCGAGCCCATGATCGTTCACGGACTTTTTTTCGTTCGAACAAATATTACGCTTTTTGGGCGATGCATTTCTCTTTGCGCTGCTGCAGCTCCGAAACTCGATTTATTTTTACATTGCTCAAACACACCGAAGCGAGAGCACAAGTTGAACACGATATTTCGCACATTGAACTCAATACCATATGATTTTTTTGCCATTGCAGCCGTTGTCGTTGTCGGTCACCACCGCCGAAACACACACATACACGAACACTAAGTCGCAAGTAGAGAAAAAGAGAGCCCATTCCAGTCTTCGTCGAAGCAAAGCATCGTTCGTTTTGACCATGGCTCTCACTCTCTCGCCGAGTGATCGATACGAATGTGTGTGTGAGTGTATGTGATTCGATGTGTATTGAGAGCACGCTCGCTGTGCTGCTCGTTCAATCGGCGATCTCTTTAGTCGTGCTTTGCACGTCGAGCACAACGCGCATACACATAATCTCAAGACGATTGTTGCTCGATTTTTTCTGTACTGTCCATACCATTTGTTATTGTATGATTTGGTGTTTGATACATTGTGAACTTTACGATTGATATTTCGGGATTTCCTGTCACGGTTCAGTTCGATGAATTTACACTAAAGAGTTTGATAAGAAGCAGAAAGTGTTGCACGATTTTTCATCATCAACAGTTCAACGTCACACTATACACAGATTAGCTTTCTTATTTTCTGCATGAAATTGTGTGCAATTGTGAATGTAATAAATATATCGAGAAAAAAAAACCTGAATCGAAAATTTAATTGCATACGGAGCGAATTTGTTCAAGGAACAACAATAACAACGTACAAAATACAGAGTCTCCGATCATTGCATATTCAAGTGAACGTGTAGTTTATGTGCGTGATCGAACGTTTAAGAGATTTAGCGCGCTTTGTGTGACGAAGGCGTGGAGCACCGTGCTCATTTCGGAATTTTTGTGGCTTGACGAAAAAATAGCAACACAGTGCAATTCACACTGTAAAGACAAGAACTCTATTTAAAATAGCATCGAGCTGCGATTTGAGGACTTGAATAAACAACAGCAAATCGAAGAAGAAAAAAAAACAAAAACAAAAACCAGAAACATATCATATTGATTTTGAAATTTTACTGGTTTCTTCACCATACCCATTATTCGTGCATCTGTCGTCTTGTGTGCTTTAGTGCGCTGTTAACATGTAACACAAAGGCAACAACAAAACAACAACTCAGCTAAATGTCTTCTGAAACAAAGCGAGCCAGAGAGAGAATGAATATGAGTGTTTTTGCTTCAGCATGTAAATTATAAACTATATAATGAAATGTCAGAGATCAACGAATTTTATTGAAACAACTGGCGAGATAACATAAATGTGGCTCAACATTTCGAACGTCGTATTTCATTATTACTTCGATGGGCTGAAACAAAGTATATCAGTTTGAAATTCCAAAGTTTTGATTACTTTCAGTTTGTTCGAGTTCAGTTATTTCTAATCGACGCATAAAAACGGTGAACTCATCAAAAATGGGAATTCGATTTGGAAATTGTGTGCGTGTAAGAGTGTGAGTGAGTGTGTTTTCATCATTTTTAGACAGACACTGAATACATATTGTTTCGCTATAACGAGCGTACGATTTCGAAACTGAAAATTAAACTGAACACCCTGAATGGAGTGTAAAAATTGAAGAATATTGAACAACAATCTCAATTTGCTTTGAAAGTTTGTTCGTTGTGTTGAAATTACTTTGTTTTCCCGATCAAAATGCGTATTTGTCATTATCCAGGTCGTGTTGTTGACGCAACACTATCGCTCGATCAGAAGAGTCCCATGGAGATGCTGTACCAAAATAATTGGTTGAATGCCGATAAAACGATTAAGACAATCGGCCGAAATTCGGCGGCCATTCGAAATAGTCGATTCAACAATGATGTAATATCATCGCCCAATAATCAGTACCGCAACGAATCACTTGATCGAAAATACTTCAGCCACTCATCTGGATCATCGAGTGCTCCGCAAAGTTCATCGGAGGATGAAAATCGACGGAGCAGTCAATCGTCGCTCAGCCGATACCAAGTGACACTGGAGGAAATGCAGAAATTAGATATGAATCAGCCAAACGAATTGTTCCGAAAGACAATGCGCAATTTAAACGGCTACAAACCGTCGAC